ACTTAAAAATTCGATCTTTGTTCTTCCAAGAGCTTATATCAGTAGAACTCACTGGTATCTGTTAATCCTTTATTTCACGGGCACAGAGAAACCTATACATTCCAACACCCTCCTCACCACCACCTTCACAGTTAGTTGAGGCCAGATGACTTGTTTTGACAAAAAGATTATGGACAGAATATAGTGTGTCACTTCTAAGGAAAGTCAGGAAAAAGGTCCCTGAGGCACCTCCCTCCCCCAGCTCTCTTTTCCCCTGTAATAGCAATATGGAAGCCACATGTTGGAATGGCAAAGCCGTTAACATAGAAGCAAAATGGCCCCTTGACACAGGACTTGAGAGAGAGCTGCCCTGGAGAACAGCAAGGCCCACAGTAGACTCTGCATACACAGAAAAATAAATGTCTGTCATGTTAATCCCCCAAGACTTCAGGGTTTATATACTATCACAGTGGAGTTCAGACTGTCCTGACAAATGTGTCTCCTAACACAGTTACTAGTATGAAGAAAGTGCTTAATATGTAGCTCTTTAAAAACAAATGTGCAGAGCTAAGAACACCATTTACTAGTAACACAGAAGTTGAGATATGGATTACAAAGAAAAAACACAGTCATCTTGATTTATATTAAAAAGCAATTTCTGCATATTACGCATGAGCAGACTATATATCAACCGACTAAATAGCTCAGGGAGTACTCAGCACAACTCCATATTGCTGACTAAGGCACAGACTGGTCATAGTCACATAAAAAGCTCATTACCACCATAAAGCAGCCCATATATGTTAGGTGCAAAGTGAATGAAAAGAGCAATCTAGTTGGAAAGGAGTGGATCTGTAACTTTTACTCAATTCTCATCTTTCTTCTGCCTTTTATCTGAATTGCTTATCTTGGCATAGTATAAGCTACTTTGTGAAAAAGAGAGGACAGCACTTTCACTGCAGTTAGCAGCCTGGTGGTAGAGAGCATTAGAGGTCCAGAGTCTTGCCTCAGCTGTGCTGGGCAGTGCCTGCATGACTTTGACGTCTGATTAGAATCTTTCTTACTCTCTATTTGCCCACTGATAAAGTGGGCCCAACGACAACCCTAAGATAAGGTCGTGGTATGGATTAAGGAGCACTGTGTATATAAAGAATCTGGCAAAATGTTTGGTATTTGTTGGCACCCAATAATTGTTGGTTTAATTTCTTCATTCCCTTTCTCTTATTCTGCCACCCTCCATTCTACCTTCCTCTATATTTCCTTTCAGTATCTTGCTTAGTTGTTTACTTGTTTTAAACTAAAAAATGAAGATAAATGCTAGATAATCACGAAAACCCTGATCAGTATGAAATATCTATGCCCTTGAAGTTTGAGTATTGCCTGGAATTTGGATTTGGCAGCCTGATTTGACAAAAATCAAAATAATATCACGATATCCTATGCCACCAAAGTTGGAGCATGAGAAGGAAAGGAAAGAAGTGAAAGAAGGGTAAGCAACAGCACAAATGAGAAGGGATGCAAAGTAATCTGCAAACAGCCATTGCTGAAAAGAGTTTACACAAAATTCAGAATCACACAGACATAAATTAACATTGTGCACTTCCTGGATTTTAATTAATTCAGATATACTGACAACAAACTCAGTCCAAATGGTACACTGTTTTGGTCAGTGGAACTCAAAAGGACACAAAGTTAATACAGCAGCACAAGTTTCACACTATTGGTGTTCTTAGGAGAATATCTTCAAGGGTAGGCAGTAAAAGAGATGGATTGGCATTTGCAAATCATTTCTTGTCTCTTTGAGTTCATCTCAGCCAACACAATCAATATCCAGTAAAAACAAATACCCCACACTGTAATCCCTCAACAGAGCCCTGCTCTAGCCACTGTTTCCTGACATGTTCTTAAATATCTGTAAGTTTTTAATGTATTTCACTTTCTGACTTTGGCCCCAAACTTGCTTTTCAGTTGGATAATGGCTAATGTTCTTTGGCTATCCTCACTTCTGTCTACGTTTGATCCTCAGGCTACATTGACTTTGGTGATACCAGATAATACCCCAGCCCTGTTCTGCTTAGGCAACAGCACCATCCAGGACAATAAAAAATCAGAGGAGGCTAGCAGGATCATCTTTTAAAAATGGCTATGCATGAGCATATCAAAGGAAAGATATAAACAATTTCTTCTTTATGACCAGCCAATACTTCAGTGTAATTTTCATGGAAAACACTTATTTGAAAGAGAATTATAAATTCACCTAAGTTAGAGAAAAGAAAATTTTTAATACATGTGAGTTTATTACGTGTGAGTGTAATACATGTGAGTTGCAATGAAGGAACACCTAATGTATAAATGAGTTAATACAGAAATAGATTTTAAAGAGGATTCGGCATCATTTTTTTCTCCCCATCTTACTCCTATACCTGCTGAAGGGCTGTATTTTATTTGCTAAGGGGATATGTTTATATAAAAGGTGATCTTCCCTCCTGCCAGGTCCAGAGAACTAGGTGCAGTAGAAAAATAAATCAACAGTTGATAAATGCAGCAAAAATACTGCCTTAAAATGTTATCCCTTATCTGTAAAAGTCCCATACAAAACCTAGAGTTTAAGATGAATTCCAAAGAATGACATTTAAATTTCAACATGGTTCTACATACATTACTTTAACCTAGGTCTCTGCTTTACCTCTCTGTTTACAAACCTATAACACGACAAAGACTTGGTCTCAGTATTTGCTGTCACCATGTGCAAATGACCATGTTCTAAATCCTTACTCAAAGTCTTCTTCCTTTACAATGTCTTCCTAACTCCCCAGCAGAATTTATTTCAATTTATTTCAGCTCTCTAAGCATATTTCCCCCCCAAATCTAGTGTTTGTAAGCTCAAACTGCCTTATATTTGGTTATTTTTAATGTCTGTATCCTCTATAGGTAAACTGACAGTACTGGGAACCTATCTTCTTTTCTTGATTCTCACGTCCCTCAGAGTGCCCCGTCCACTACTTTGTAACCTCCTAATCGGTATGTGTTTGTTAAATGGAACTGAAAATATAAAAAGAGGGAGAAATCTCACATGGCCTCTTCATATTTGTTCATATTTGTATTAGGAAAGCGAAGGGTCCAAGGTAATGTAAACAGGCAATATGTCAAGGAAAAAGGTAGTTAAGACAACCAGTCCCATATCCCAGATTCTTAAGGCAGCATTCAGAGACCTCTATTAGATAAGGCCTTGTAAAGAGACAAAAAGCAACTCTTCTCCCTTAGTAATGGATAGACTGTCTCTCTCTAGATCCTGCTTATTCCTAATTCTATTAAATTTAAACTCCTACCTTGCTGCTATCAGCCAGAAACCCCAGCCAAATAGTAAAAGCCGAATGCTTTCTCGACACTTAATAAACCCAGAAAGGGTAGAAAGCTTTTTTATGGTATAGCAACATGGGTGTTAGTCAGGCTGGATGGTACTGCCTTGGCATATAAACCCCAACAAATGCTTCTTCTTGAGAGGATACTCAGTTGGCCCTTAATCTGAAGACATAAAACCTTCCTGCACACACACACACACAAGAAAAAACCCACAAAGTGTTAAAGACCAGCAGCATCGGCATCACGTGAGAGCTTTTAAGAAATGCAGGATCTCGGAACCCACCCCCAGACAACCTGAATCGGAACTGGCATTTTAACATTATCTCCAAGTGACTCATACATAGGTAACATTTTTAAGAAGCATGGACGCTGGATATTCTGGCATCAATATTTCATTTGCTTCCTGGCAGTCTCTTCACTCTAAACCATAACTTTATTACGAAAACTATTTGCTTCCCACACCCTCTCCTCTAACTCTGCATGTTTTTTCAGGCATCCATTTGTTTTAATATGTAATACAAAAAGAGAAAAGACTTCTCTAGTGTATAGAATGTATACATTTCATTCACATACATTATATCATTAGATCCTTATGATATTCCTGCGAATATCGTCATGTATAACTTGTTACATGTCACTCATGTACAGAAATATCTGAGAACCTCCATGTCTAATGCTTTGAAGATGCAGACGGCTTCCGTCTATAGTCAACCAATGCTCCAACCTTGGGATTAGAGAATTCTGATTGCATTATCCATGGACCCAAGAACTTAAAAGCCCAGTTCTATCTTACTCTTGAATCTTTTGCCTTTTCAACTACCATAACCCAGTTTCTCCCACACAGAGACACTAAACATGCACACTCTTGATGAAAGCTTTTGTAGTGGCCATTACATAATGGATTTGCTGTCAGTTGTCTAAAATGTACCTGCTGAAGAAATGAAAAAGAAAAACCTAATCCATGCTTATAAGTAATGGAGTTTTCAACTAAAACCTATTTGGGCATTTCTGTCCTCTATAGTATGAGTTTTTAATTGGCTTTAGTCATGTATGTGATCTGAACATTTTTAGCAATGAGTAAAACAACATAGGTAATAATATTAAATATATATTATAGTTTCATTAAGAAAGCATTTATAGTGTTAGGATGTTTATAGTTTTAGAATGTAATATAGGAAATTGTCAACCATTTTCAAAACCAGAGCACAATTTCAAAATGTTTAGCCTAATTCTAGGCCACATTCTAAAGTAAATATCTCTACACAATGCAAAATATTAACTAAAACTTTAGGCTTCATCAAAATGCCTCAACACTGTTGATTAGGCATAAAAATACATCACTTTTATAAAGTCTTTTGGTTATTAAATAATGGACAGGTGTCTACAATTTAAAAATCATCTGGGTATAATGACTTAATTCTAGTACATAGGGAGGCCAAGGTGGAAGAATTGCTTGAGGCCAGGAGTTCTAAACCAGTCTGTGAAACATAGCAAGAGCCCTGTCTCTACAAAAAAAAATTAAAAATTAGCCAGGCATGGTGGTGCACACCTGTGGTCCTAACTACCTGGGAGGCTGAGGTGGGAGGACTGCTTGAACCCAGGAGTTGGAGGCTGCAGTGAGATATTGGAAGGAAAAGCCCAGAAGCCATACAACTTACCACAAATTCCACTGTTGTCTGTCACTGTCTAGCTGAGTAACTCTGGCCAGTCCCTTCTTCCTCACTCTCAGTTTCTTGATCTGCAAAATGAGGTGATTGAAACTAGATGATGTAAGAGTCCCACACAGCCTGAAAATGCCATTTTCCTGCAAGACTGGAAACCACATCTGAGTACATTTCCTCTCCAAAAGCAACACGCAGAAGATAAAAAGATTTTTAAATGGCACTTGGCACTACTGATGTTCCAACTCGTTCATACTATAATCTCAGCTTGATACTTTAGAACCACATAGGTTGCTAGTATCCACCACAGACGAGCAAAGCAGAAGAGAAAGGCTATTGGCATACTCTTTGCCTGAGAAGTGTTGCAACTAAAAGTCAGATCAGAGGGAGAGTAAATCTTCTCCTTCCCCTTCTGAGGATCTGGTGACTCTTTCTTTCTGGGCCCTGCCTCGGGAATTTCTCCTAGAGAAATTTTTCACTGGGGACCTGGGAGTCTAGCCCTTGACTAAATCCCAGACAAGGATGCATTTCCTCCTGGAAGGCTCCCTGCCTGGACAAGTCCTTCAAAATCAACCTAAAAAGGAACTCCAGTCTCCAGGGAGCTGTACATTTTAGCATTTTTTAATCAGATGTCTGGTCTTCTCTGGTCTTTTTTGAAACCTTTTTTTCTTATTGTATTATAATTTTATTATGTTAATATACAAAGAGTTGGCAATGCATAATTTTAAAAGGCAAATTCAGTCTTTGAATGAAGACTGTGTGATGATTACAGCTCATGCTTTAACTACATTTACTTATCTTCCTTTCTTCAATCTTGTATGGGATAATATCTTTGAAATGGCTTTTGTTTATTTTTTAAATGAGTTTCATGTTTTTTCCCTTTTCTCCTTTTCATTACTGTTTTCTAGCAGAAAATCAGAAAGTCAGGGAATGGTTTAAGTTTGTAAAATCTGAGAGATCATCTGGACTTAAACCCAATTTCATTAAATGGCTTAGGAGATGTAAATAACTCAACAAGGCAGTACTCAGATATCATGTATGTAAAAGTGAGTACTGCCCATATCCCTAGTAATTAGGCCCATCATTAAATCAGAGTTTAACGGATTAGGTTCATTTTTATGACATACACAAGTGAACCTGAAACACGGGGTCCTATTAGTATTTAATATATAAAGTAAGCTAGTATCTGAACCTAATTAATTGCATACACAATGTGGTCAACACAGAGGATACAAATTCTAGAAAAAAGTGTACACCCAAAAAATAACAATTCTGTTATTAGTAGCATTATTATTGTCATCTATTATGACAAGCCTAAACTACCCAAGCGTTCATCAAAGGAGCAATTCAATAGAATGTTTTCGGCATGCTCTTCTTTTAACTAAAAAGAGAATATGGAATGAGAAGAGAAAAAATAAGATTTTTTATTCCAGTCTGAAAAAAAAAAATTCTTTGAAGCTCCTCATGGTATGCATGACAAATAAACATACATTTCTTGCTTTCTGCAACAAAAGAACTGTTATGTGCCTTTGCAATTAATTAATGTTGTCTCCAATATTTCTAGAAAATTAATGTCAAATTCATTTGAATGTGGCTTCTGGAATAACAGGACCTCTGGTCCATTTCCTGTATGGTAATGTAATGACAGCAAGATACCCTTTTAAATTTTATGTGTTCAAATTGGTTTAAAAAGGTAAATTTCTACACTATAATTAATGTATGCCAACAATTTTCAAACAGTTTTAGCAGTGGAGCTCTTCTTTGAAAGAACATATTGGGCCCAACATAAGTTAAGGCACTTTAAATGTCTATCATTGGCTAAGAATATACTTTATATTTTGTGGAACTCATCAAGCACCTTCCTAGAATTTGAAAGCTTGGTAGGAAATTATTCTTCAAATTCATATATCTCATATTATTGATGAGAAAACTGAGTCTACAAAAGAGGAAGTGATATGAGTATGTCTCACAACTAGTTAGTGACAAAAGTTAGAATTCATGACTCATTCATTTATGCAACTGATGTTTATTGAGAACCCTCCATGTACTCATTTTGTGCTAGGTTTCCTATGTATATCACATGTTTTTATTGATCATTTAAATTTTATATAATTTTGTTATTATTTTATTTAATCATTTCCTAGCCATACAGAAAAAAATTCATATCTATTTTGTTTGTTTGTTTGTTTTGAGACGGAGTCTCACTCTGTTGCCCAGGCTGGAGTACAATGGCGTGATCTCGGTTCACTACAACCTCTGCCTCCCAGGTTCAAGAAATTCTCCTGCCTCAGCCTCCTGAGTAGCTGGGACTATAGGCTCCCGCCCCCACTCCTGTCTTTTTTTCTTTTTTTTTTTTTTTTTTTTTTGTATTTTTCATAGAGACAGAGTTCACCATGTTGGCCAGGCTGGTTTTGAACTCCTGACTTCAAGTGATCTGCCTGCCTCAGCCTCCCAAAGTGCTAGGATTACAGGCATGAGCCACCGCCCCCGGCCAAAAATTTGTATCTATTAACCAATCATCAAATCTGCATTCATCATGTCTCACGTGTAAAGAACTAAGAACGTGTTAGAAAAAGGCAAGTGAACCTAGAAGTTCATAATCTGTTTAAGCAGTGGATATGCACAAACAAGAAATTTGCTTTAAAAAGCTAGGATGACATTTAAGTGCTAAGTATAATATAGCAATGAATATATTGGCCTCAGAAACTTATACCCCAAAATTTGGCACTTTGACATGCTGAACTGATGAAGAAGCTCAAGGTCTGACAACCCCCACCTCAGCCCCCTATCTGAGCTCTCAATCTCTCAATCCTTTGTCTCCTGTCTCTCCCAAAGCACAGGATAAAGTTGCTCTCTGAAGTTCCCTCATCTAAAGCCCAGATCCACCAAAGAAGGTCCCTTTCCTGAATTTTCATTAACTGAACTGCTTCAGTAGGAAGAAGGACAAGTCTGTCAACACACCTGGATAGACTTTTGCCACAAACCACTGTCTGCTCTGCAGCTCAAGAGACTTTGTCCCAGGCCACTGTATGTTCTTCAAGCCCACTGAATTTTCCTAATTAATCATTGACTCCCCTCAAAGTCATTCACATTTCCTTATGTACCTTTCTATGCTAGGGTAATCGCTGTGGTTCTCTCCCATGCATGTTAATAAACTCATATGCCTTCTCACTTATTAACCTGCCTTTTGTGAGATGATTTTCAGCAGTGGGCTAAGGGGAAGTGTTTTTTTTTTTTTTTTTTTTTTTTTTGGCCCTGAAGTACATTATGTAAAGAGAGATTCTTAAAAAGAGGGAGCTCATTGGGACTGACTTCAAGTATTTGAATAAGCTTCGAGGAAGAGATAAAATTTGACCTTAAAGTATTTATTAACTATTACCACTTATATTGTATTAAAGACATTGGCATCATCCATGGCATCTGGATTGCAATAACTGTATAAATAGACTTTTTCCAATTAATAGCTCATTAAAAACTAGTACAAATTTGCATTATTAACATCAATAGGCTCCTAAAGAATTATTCAGCAGCTGAGCAGTTCATTTTTCAGCTACTTTGTTTGTGACCTTTGTTGTAAAAATCCTGATCTTTTTCATCCATGAATGAACCCAGTAAGAATTTCAAAATTGACCAGATCTTCATCAGTCTTGGCCATTTCCTGAGACCAACTAGGCATTGTGTTCAAATTTATCTCTTATACAATTTCCTGACTTAATTCTCATCCAAGTCAAAGTTACCTTTCCTTCCTCTAAAGAATGTTTCTCTGTACATTTTATTTAAAAACGCTCTTAGATTTTACTCTATTATTTGCATATGTTGCTATATTATTTATGAATAAATGCCATTTTTCTCAGCTATGTTAGAAGCCCACGACAATAAAAACCATGGCTTATTCCTAAATACAGTGTTTTGCCAAAGAGGCACTTAGCAAATAGTCACTGTTGTAATTTGCTTTTAATGGAAAAGCCCACATGTTACAGAATCTGTACTAGTCAATGAGTAGGTGCTGACAGCCTACAACTTGTGGCTTTTGATGATTTATTGATATGATCCTCAAATCCTAGGACCTTACCTGTGATGCATTCTAATGGTTTTCTAGTCTATATTATTCCATTTCAATCTAATTCATTAAAAAAATTACAGGTTTGCTGAATGATAAAATTGATTTTATCATCATCTCTAGCTGCATGAATTCAATCAAATTATTAATCTATTCTAAGGATTATTTTGTTTACTTATAGAATATAGATAACAATGTTATCTCCTTCATAGGATTGCTTTTAGTATTAAATTAAATGCTACCACTAGCATTGTGCTTGGGGCTTAGTGTTCAATAAAGGCATACTATTTTTATGGATATTATTATTTTAATTATTTCCACCATTGTATTAGTATTATAAATTCAACTTTAGATATTTGAAAACTGTTAATTTATGTTAAAATTCTTAGATACATGCTACATATTGTTAAAGTCCTAACTTTTTTTTTTGCTCTTGTTGTCCAGGCTGGAGTGCAGTGGCGTAATCTTGGCTCACTGCAACCTCTGCCTCCTGGGTTCAAGTGATTTTCCTGCCTCAGCCTCCCAAGTAGCTGGGACTATAGGTATCTGCCACCATGCCCAGCTAATTTTTATATTTTTAGTAGAGACAGGGCTTCACTATGTTGGCCAGGCTGGTCTCGAACTCCTGACCTCAGGTGATCCACCTGCCTCGGCCTCCCAAAGTGCTGGGATTACAGTCATGAGCCATCATGCCCGGTCCTAAAGTCCTAACTTTTTATCAAATGTTAAAGGAAAAGAAAAAAGATAATAAATAGAATTAGTCCATGCTCCTTCTAGACATCAAATACTCAATGTTATTTTGTTTTTGGTTCACTCTGCAGACTTTAGATTTAGTACTTCATCTCTGTAGTGATTAAGGAATGTGGAAAATGATAACATGGCATTTCATTTAGATGTTTCTTCAAGGTGACATACATGACAGATTCATTCTTCTAACTTAACTGTGATGAAATTCATCTCATCTTCTATTAGTGGCAGAAATATGAACAGAAGCATGTGGTCTCCGTCATCTCTAAT